CTTTCAATTGCGGAGCCTCTGCTGCCACTGCATCAACCCCTGCTGCACCCACAGCTGCAGCCACTGCAACTGCAACAACTGCAGCAGCAGCAGCAGCAGCAGCAGCAGCTAGGCTGCCTGCAGCAAATCGAAACCACCAGCCTGGCTGCGCAATGCAGCAACGTAGCGCTTAATTGCTGAGCCTTCGGCGTCTCGCGTGATGTGGAGAGAAGGGGAAGTGACGACTTCAGCCCCGAGGCGCACATCTGCAGCAAAACGAAAAGTTGAACTTTTTGAAAATTAATTTTTTTTCGTTCTTTTTGCTTTTTTTAATTACTGCTGCAAAGCCCTTTCAATCCCGCGAGGTCTCATTCGAAAAAGCGCGAAAAAACGGAGTAGCTAACACTTTTATTCGTCTACTTCGCCTGCTGCTGCTGCTGCTGCTGCTGCTGCTGCTGCTGCTGCTGCTGCTGCTGCTTACGGCCTTGCTGCACGTACTCCACGGCCTGCTGCAGGCCCTACTACCGCAGCTACAGCTACAGCTACAACTACTGCACTGCAGCCCCAGCTACGCCCGCTGCTGCTGCTGCTGCTGCCGCTGCTGCTGCTGCTGCTGCTGCTGCTGCTGCTGCTGCTTACGGCCTTGCTGCACGTACTCCACGGCCTGCTGCAGATGCGTGGCCATCCGCAGCCGCAGCAGCACCACCGGCAGCCGCCGGCGGCAAAACGCAGAAGCTGCCAAGCCATCCACGGCCCCCAAGCCCTCGCGGCGGCTCACAACCCCCATGCGGTACCTGCAGCAGCAGCAGCAGCAGCAGCAGCAGCAGCAGCAGCAGCGGCAGCAGCAGCAGCGGCGGCGGCGGCGGTGGGGGCGGGTTCGCGGAAGAGGCGGCACGGCTAGGGGACAGCAGCAGGAGGGGCAGCAGCTAGAAGCGGGCTACCAGCAGCAGCAGCAGCAGCAGCAGCAGCAGCAGCAGCTAGCGTGGGGGCAACTGCTGCAGCGAAAGATTCAGGTGCCGCTATTCAAAAGCTAGCAGCAGAAGCAGCAGCAAGGAGAGACTCTGCGGCTGCTTGAGAAGGACTCATAATAGCAGCAGCAGCAGCAGCAGCACCGAGTAGCCACAAGAGTGGCCCCAAGTTCGCTCTGCTGCTCGCTCTGCTGCTGCTGCTGCTGCTGCAGTGGGGTGTACGTACAGCTTGTCCAGCAGCAACTCCGTCATCTTCATTCGAAAAGAATCTTCTGGAGGAATTTTTCGAAGGCCGGCGACGAGTTTGGTGATGAGGCCGCAGAGCTTGTTGTACCTGCGGTGTACGTACACCCCAACGCCCCACAGATACACCGCAGCAGCAGGAGCAGCAGCAGCAGCAGCAGCTGTTGCTGCTCAAGAGCGCGCTGCTGCTGTGCCAGGTTCACCAGCACAATGCCCTTCCCGCGACTGTTCCGGCAACACCTGCAGCAGCAGCAACAGCAAAACGGCAGCAGCGCGAAACAGCAGCAGCAGCAGCAAAACAGCAGCAGCAGCAGCAGCAGCAGCAGCAGTCTTCAGACCTGTGGTAGTCCTCTCTGTCTTGAATTAAATACTTTTTCAGAAATTTATTTTCTCGCGCCGTTTTGTCTCTTTTCCATTCAAAGAAATTTACTTTCTTCAGCAAACGCTGCTCGTGGTACTTGAGTTGCCTCATCTCTGCTGCTGCTGCTGCTGCTGCTGCTGCTGCTGTTCTTGTTGCAGTTGCTGCTGCTGCTTCAAGTTGTCCTGGTACTACTGCTGCAGCTTCTCTGCAGTTGCTGCGGGCTTGCTAGTCCCACTGTGAGTGTCTCTCCCTCTGCTGTCGCTGCTGCCGTTGCTGCTGCTGCGGCTGCTGCTGCTGCTGCTGCTGCTGCGGCGGCGAGTCCGCTGCGCCGCTGCTGCCTTCAGGCGAAGCTCTAGGGGGCGGCGGAGGGTCCCTTGTGGCCAGAAGGTCGTTCTGCTGCTGCTGCTGTTGTTGCTGCTGCTGCTGCTGCTGCTGTAACTTTAGTGTACGTACTCTTGAGAGCGGCTTGTAAACTCTGGAGCTGCAGCAGCAAGCCGAAGAGGCAGCAAAGGTGATGTATAAAATATAAAGAGTATAAAAGAAAGTAGGTTTTGCTGCTGCAAGACTTGGCTGCATGCAGCATGCAGCGGCAGCGGCTGCTGCTGCTGCTGCCGCTGCTGCTGCTGCTGCTGCTGCTGCGAGTGTCGTCGAGCCCCACAGGAGCGAGTGCCACGGAACTAGCAGCTGTCCAGCAGCAAGTTTAGCTTAACTGAGGAGTATTTGGAAAAACTGAAACGAAATTAACGAATTTAGTTCGCATTTGCGGATTTAACCTCGTATTTGGCCCGCAGCAGCAGCAGCTTGGCCCGCAGCAGCAGCAGCAGCAGCAGCAGCGGGAGTGTGGGCGTGGCGGGGCTGGCGGGGCTGCGGGCGTTGGTGGGGCGCAGCAGCAGCGCAGCAGCAGCTGGAGCAGCAGGATTCGACAGCAGCAACAGCAGCAGCAGCAGCAGCAGCAGCAGCAGCAAAACAGGGTTTGAGGCCTTTGCGAGCAGCACGCGAGTTCGGACTCTGGAATCGTTGAATCCGCAGCAGCGCGCGCGCAGCCACCACTCCCCCCTCCCTCCCCCGCAACCCCAACCCCAAACCCTAAACCCTAAACCCTAAACCCTAAAATGGAGCAGCCGAAGCTGGCCAAAGTCGAGAAAGTCCTCGGCCGCACCGGCAGCAGGGGCGGAGTGCAGCAAGTCAGGGTCACCTTCATGACTGAAGAGTCCGACCTGCAGGGCCGGTCGCTCATTCGCAACGTCAAGGGCCCCGTGCGCGAGGGCGACATTTTGGCGCTGCTGGAGACGGAGCGCGAGGCCCGCCGCCTCCGCTGAGCAGCAGCAGCAGCAGCAGCAGCAGCAGCAGCAGCAGCAGCAGCAGCAGCGGCGGCGGCGGCGGCGGGGGAGGGGGAGGGGGAGGGCTGCGGGGCT